TCATACACTCTACAAGACCCCCACACACTCTACACGACTCTCATACACTCTACAAGACCCCCATACACTCTACAAGACCCCCATACACTCTACACGACTCTCATACACTCTACAAGACCCCCATACACTCTACAAGACCCCCACACACTCTACACGACCCTCATACACTCTACAAGACCCCCACACACTCTACACGACCCCCACACACTCTACACGACTACACTCTACAAGACCCCCATACACTCTACAAGACCCCCATACACTCTACACGACTCTCATACACTCTACAAGACCCCCATACACTCTACAAGACCCCCACACACTCTACACGACCCTCATACACTCTACAAGACCCCCACACACTCTACACGACCCCACACACTACACTCTACAAGACCCCCACACACTCTACACGACTCTCATACACTCTACAAGACCCCCATACACTCTACAAGACCCCCACACACTCTACACGACCCTCATACACTCTACAAGACCCCCACACACTCTACACGACCCTCATACACTCTACAAGACCCCACACTCTACAAGACCCCACACACACCTACACGACCCTCATACACTCTACAAGACCCCACTACACTCTACACGACTACACTCTACAAGACCCCCATACACTCTACACGACTCTCATACACTCTACAAGACCCCTCTCTACACGACCACTCTACAACCCATACACTCTGCCCTATACACTCTACACGATATACACTTACAAGACCCCATACACTCTACAAGACCCCCATACACTCTACACGACTCTCATACACTCTACAAGACCCCCATACACTCTACAAGACCCCCATACACTCTACACGACCCCATACACTCTACAAGACCCCCATACACTCTACACGACCCCCATACACTCTACAAGACCCCCATACACAGTACACGACCTCAAGGCGCCTCATTCACAACGACCCTCTCCCGAATCCCTTTCATCCCTCCTGGGGTCTATCATCCAACTTAACAATCCATTCTAATCCTCACTAACTGACTCACGCCCCTCCCTCCCTCCTACACACTCCTCTTGGGTTTACAACTCTCCTTCACGCCCACATCTGTCCACACACCCCTATACCCACACACACCCCTATACCCCCACACACCCTTATATCCCACCCTAACACACTTTACTCTCACACAAACCCGTACGCTCAAACTGTCAACATCATCGTCATCATCATCATCGTCATCATCATCATCATCATCATCATCATCATCATCATCATCGCCCTCTCTGACTCATACATTCACGATATTCATTACTCACAATCTACACCCTCCACTACACCCTGATACAACACCCTACTCCCCACCATCTATATCACCCTCCTCCCCCCCGTTACACCCCACACTAACACCCAAGCCACTTTACACCACACCACACAACCACACCACACCACACAACCACACTACAGCACCACACCATTACACTACACCACCACGTCACACCACCAAAACCACACCACACTACCACAACCACACTAACCACCAGGCCACACCATCACCACACCAATCAGAGTGGAGGAGGTGGTATGACCTTTCCACAGTAAAGCTGATAACACCTGAGGAGCACCTACAGCAGGTAAGAGAACACATGAGGAGCACCTACAGTAGGTAAGAGAACACCTGAGGAGCACCTACAGTAGGTAAGAGAACACCTGAGGAGCACCTACAGCAGGTAAGAGAACACCTGAGGAGCACCTACAGCAGGTAAGAGAACACCTGAGGAGCACCTACAGCAGGTAAGAGAACACCTGAGGAGCACCTACAGCAGGTAAGAGAACACCTGAGGAGCACCTACAGCAGGTAAGAGAACACCTGAGGAGCACCTACAGCAGGTAAGAGAACACCTGAGGAGCACCTACAGCAGGTAAGAGAACACCTGGAGGAACACGCCTTCACCCCTCTAGTCTGGCACCCGAACACTCAACCATGAACACACTCAGCCATGAACACACTCAACAATGAACACACTCACCCATGAACAGACTTTCCTATGAACACACTCAACCATGAACACACTCAACCATAACTATGAACACACTCAACCATGAACACACTCAACCATGAACACACTCAATTCATGAACACACTCAACCAATGAATCATAATTACTCTGTGAAACACACTGCCTTTATCACTTACATATTTGCTCTCCTCCTTCCACACACACACACACACACACACACACACACACACACACACACACACACACACACACTGGAGCGCTATGAAAAACATTTTTGCACACTTCCATGATCCACCACACTCACATGTGGGAGGTGGTAGGTGGGTGGTGGGAGGTGGCGTGGTAGGTGGTGGTGAGGTGGTGGAGGTGGTGTGGGTGGTAGGTGGGTGGTAGTGGGTGGGAGGTGGTGGTAGGTGGGAGGTGGTGGGTGAGGTGGTGGTGGTGGTGGGTGTGTAGGTGGTGGTGGTGTGTAGGTGGTAGGTGGTGGTGGTAGGTGGTGGTAGGTGGGGGAGGTGGCGTGGGAGGTGGCGTGGTAGGTGGCGGGTAGGGTGGTGGCGTGGGTAGGTGGTGGGAGGTGGTGGTAGGTGGTGGTAGGTGGTAAGTGGCGGTGGGTGGCGTGGTAGGTGGCGTGGTAGGTGGCGTGGTAGGTGGCGTGGTAGGTGGCGTGGTAGGTGGCGTGGGAGGTGGCGTGGGAGGTGCTGTTCCTATAATATATATCTCCCTCCTCCTCCTCCTCCTCCTCACTACTTTCGCTTTATCACATGTCTCGTGTTGATAGTGGAGACGAGAGAGAGAGAGAGAGAGAGAGAGAGAGAGAGAGAGAGAGAGAGAGAGTAACAAAAGCTTATGGTGTCGCCTCCCTTCCTCGCCTGACATCAAAAAATTCTCATTAAAGTTATGAGTTCTAGAAGCAGTCAGCGGGGAAAGTTGACAGTAAAAGTATTTTTTAAGTGAAAAGTAATAGAAAGTAAAAGCCGCTACCCACTAAGAAAGTCAGTGAAAGTTGATGGTAAAACTGGTAAAAGCAAAATGATTAGTGACAACAAAAATGATGTAGAGGTTAGGTTAGGTGAGGTGAGGTGGGGTGAGGCGGGGTGAGGTGGGGTGAGGCGGGGTGAGGCGGGGTTAGGTTAGGTTTTGAGCCAGAGAGAAAGCCAAGGAAAAAGATGAAAATGAGATGCTATTTTTTTCCCGTCATAGTTACTATCAAGAAAAAAAAAAACAATCTCCAGTTAGAGGAAGTCAGCAAAAGTATAAACCCTCCAAAAATAAAGTTTTGAGTTCCCGCAGAAAGTAATGACAGTAGCAAAAGTAATAGAATTTTAAGTAAAAGTTGATAAATGTAAAACGAGGAAAGAAATCCCAGAGCAGGAGAGAGAGAGAGAGAGAGAGAGAGAGAGAGAGAGAGAGAGAGAGAGAGAGAGAGAGAGAGAGAGAGAGAGAGTAGGGAAAGAAAAAGTTAAGATTATTTAAAAGTTGAGAAAATAATTGTTGAACTTGGAAGTTAAAAGTCAAACGTTGAGTGTATTCTGAGGGAGAGTAAGAGGCTAGAACGAACCAGCTGGGTATACCTAGAGCCTGCTGTGTATCTCTAGAGTCAGTGGGTGTATCTAGAGCCACCAGTGTGTACCTGGAGCCACCAGTGTGTACCTAGAGCCACCAGTGTGTACCTAGAGCCAGCTGGGTGTATCTAGAACCAGCTGGGTGTATGTAAGGGGTAAAATAACAAGACTGTGAGGCGGTGTTTCCTTGGCAACAGTGTGTGTGTGTGTGTGTGTGTGTGTGTGTTTTCTAGAATCCTGATGTAGTGGCGCTGCGTACACAAGCCCGCCAGCAACCTGTAACACACGCTCACACACACACACACACAGGGTCGTACGTTTGGTTACGATTAAACAACAAAAATGTACCTAAATGGCGTCATAACTACACTGACACTAAACTAAATGAGATGAATCCAATCCTACGAGATGAATCCAATCCTATGGGGCCTCAGTCTATAGAGGTCCCAATCCTATAAGATTACCCAGTTCTAAGTGACCCGTCTTAGGAGAGCTTGAATTCGAATAATATAGTTGGGGCCTATTAGATCTGCGGCCCGTTTGAGCTACAGCCCAGTATACTGTATGTCCTACCTGGACCTGCAACACTCGAGGGGTGATTGGTCGGGTCACTGAGTCAGCCTCTGTGTGTTAAAGTTAGCCCGTGCAGTACTCTAGGCTTTTAGGTCTTCTTCACTTGTTGCTCGGTGTACCTCTAGCGCTGCCATGATCACGATTCCGGGGACACCTTCTAAGCCTGCCTCTCTCTCTCTCTCTCTCTCATGGCTCAGTCTGCCACACTGAATTCCCTTTACCTTCCCCTTTCACATTCCTCCTACCCCCTTCCCTCCTCCCTTTCAATCTGCCCTTATCCCTCTCCTCCCTTTCTGCTCTCTTTAGCCCTTTCAACTCCCCCTTTAACCCTTCCTTCTTTTCACACTCCCTTTATCCCTTCCTTTCTTTACCCTTCATCCTCTCCATTATTCCTACACGACCCCTCTTCTCGTCTCTCCCATCACCCGACCCGCCCCACCCCGCCCCGCCCCGCCCCTAGACTGTAAACTTGGCTCCGTGGAATCAAAAATAGCCTCGTGTGTGGTGGTCCTCAGAGCTCACGTGCCAACACAAACCATGGGCTCTCTTCTTCCCTCTCTCCCTTCCTCCCTCCCTTCCTTCCCTTCCTCCCTCTCTCACACACACAGCCACCAACTTCACATTCCGCTGCACGTGGAGGTGAACCTTGATTAATTTCTGTACCCTTATGACATCACTTCCGCTTCTCTTTTGCTCTCACTTGTTCTGTTTTCTCCTTCTCTTTCCTTCCTCTCTTCCTCCGTTTCTTCTGTCTCTCTCACTGTACCTCTTACCTTCTCCTCCCTCCTTCCCTCTAACACAACCCTCCTTTCCTTATTATAAAACCACCTCCTTCTCTCCTTCCCTTACTCCCTCCATTTACTCACCTGGTAAGCATCAGGTATGTTGACCATGGCGCCGGACTGGGCAGTGTACCCCACCACTCCGCTGCCCCAAGGGATACGGATCTCCTCCTTCTCCTGCATCTCCTCCACCGTCGAGTCCGGGTTGACGTCGAACAGCGTGGAGACCAGACACCGGTTCTCTGACTCCTGGAGAACAAGTGGAGATAGTGAGGAGAGTTCTCTGGTGTGTGTGTGTGTGTGTGTGTGTGTGTGTGTGTGTGTGTGTGTGTGTGTGTGTGTGTGTGTGTGTGTGTGTGTGTGTGTGTGTTAGTTTATGGTTGCTATATATTCCAATAAACAGTTTATTATTATTACTAGTCATTATTATTATGTTTTAATATATCCAGTAACCTATACATTATATTCATCAAATACATACATATACATACATACAATACATACACACATAAATACATACATACAGTACACCTACCATACATATATACACCTATCATACATATATATACACCTACCATTCATCATATATACACCTACCATTCATCATATATACACCTACCATTCATCATATATACACCTACCACACATTATACATACACCCACACACCTTGTCGCCCTGCACTAGGAAGAGGGAGCAGCGGTCGGCACTGGTAAGGATGGAGACATTCTGTAGGATCTTATGACACAAGGATCTCACGTCCAGGTCATTACAGATGTCCTTCACCAGCTCGAAGATCAGCTGCCGTTCATCCAGGCCTTTGAGTTCCGTGCGAGATTTCCGGCGTACCTGTAGAAGTAGAAGAAATGACTATAAATAATAAACGATAGGGAGAGGTAGGTAGTGAATACAGTAATAGAGAGTTAATTACTAAGATTACAGGTAAGTCAAGTGTTTACCTTAAGACTTAAGGGAAGGGGGGAGGGATACTTGAGTCAAATATCACCTTAAAAGAATATTTACTTTAATATCTCCAACATACAGTCCAGATGACGTCACGGATAATAAGACGAATCATGACTAATTACTCTCCGTAAATCAATCTTCCTCCCTCTGGTCATCTGTTCTCTGGGGAAAATCATCTTATATTATTGTGAATCTTGGGAGTATTAATGACTGTTGGCTTCCTTATTCATCAATCAGTATAGTCAACCGAGTCAATACCTGCTGACGGCCACGAGTCTGACTCACTGACTCATGCTGGGGGAACTGAGGGAAGACTTGGGTGAGGAAACATTCACGCAAGAGTGAGAAGATGAGGGGGAGGGGGAGGGGGAAGAAACTGAGGAAAAACTAAGAGTGGGGGAGGAGGTGGAGGAAAGAAGAAAAGTCTCTCTCTAAACTCTGGCCAGGGTGGCTGACGAAGGGTGAGAGCAACATCAACTCACCTTGGCTAGGATAGCGACATTCTCAGTGGCCGCGGCAGGAGAGAGGAAGGTGGGCGTCCCGTCTATGGTGGTCACCATGGGCTTTAGGAGGCCGCCCTTCTCGAACTCGTGGGCCGAGATCTTCCTGACGGGGGTGGCTGCTCCTGTAGGATAAGGTGGGTCAATTAGCCAGGTTAATGTGTGTGTTACTTAATCAAGGAAAAAAAGACAATATTGTTTTATTCACCGGAGGAACAAGACAAACGTTGCTTAGATTGGTTGATGAAAACAAAACAAAACAAAACAAAACAAAATCCCAACTTGCTTAAGAGAGATAGAGAATCTACTAACCAACCTAACCTGACCTCACCTGACCTCACCTGACCTCACCTGACCTGACCTGACCTAAAGAGATGATCCGTGTTAACTAGGCTGAAATGAGTTTAGAGGGAACGAGGGAAGAAGGGATGGAGGGTAGGGAGAGAGGGAGTGTGGGAAGGAGGGAGGGAGTGTGGGAGGGAGGGAGGGAGGTGGGGAAGGAGGGAGGGAGGGGGAGGGAGGGAGGGAGGGAAGGAGGGAGGGAGGGGAGGGAGAGAGGGGAGGGGGAAGGAGGGGAGGGGAGGGGGGAGGGAGGGGAGGGAGGGAAGGAGGGGAGGGAGGGGAGGGAGGGGAGGGAGGGGAAGGGAGGGGTGGGAGGTGGGGGAGGGAGGGGAGGGAGTGGGGAAGGAGGGAGGAGGTGGGAGGGAGGGAGGGGAGGGGGGAGGGAGGGAGGGAGGTGGGGAGGGAGGGGAGGGAGGTTTTCTGGAGGGAGGGAGGGGGCGAGGGTAAGAGGGGAGGGAGGGGAGGGGAGGAAGGAGGGAGGGAAGGGAGGGTAGGGAGGGAGGGGAGGAAGAGAGGGGAGGGAAGGAGGGTAAGAGGGGAGGGGAGGAGGGAGGGAAGGAGGGGTGGGAAGAGGGAGGAGGGAGGGAGGGAGGGGAGGGAAGGAGGTAGGAGGGAGGGAGGGTAGGAGGGAAGGAGGGAGGGAAGGAGGGTAGGGAGGGGAGGGGAGGAGGGAGGGTGGGGAGGGAGGGAGGGTAGGAGGGAGGGGAGGAGGAGGGTAGGAGGGAGGGGAGGAGGGATAAGGGAGGGTAAGGGAAGGGAGGGAGGTAGGTAAGAAGGAGGGAGGTAGGTAAGGAGGGGAGGTAGGAGGGGAGGGAGGTAAGGAGGAGGGAGGTAAGGAGGGAGGTGGGAGGTAAGGAGGTAATGAAGAAAGGAGAGGGAGACAGGAAGGGAAAGAAAATGGGGTGGGGGGGAGGATAGGAGAAAGAGGAGGGGAGGATAGGAGAGAGGAGGGGAGGATACGAGAGGGGGGGGGGAAACTCTGACCCTCTAATAATAACTCAACCAGTAACCTGATAAGACTGAGTTAACAACGTTCTCACTAACGACCCTCGTCACCTAACGACCCTCGTCACCTTCCGCCTAACACTGTCTTCTGTGAACCTGTGTGACGTCATAACCTGGATATAGTCAGTGTACGGTGTGACGTCATGAACCGGGTATTTACCAGATATGCTGTGACGTCATCGTGTACCTTCACACACTGTAATAACTTTAAAAAAATAAATAAAAAAATTTATTAAAAACACCATTGACAGGTAGTATTCAGAATGAGTCTCTCTCTCTCTCTCTCTCACCTTTAAGAGCAACATTCACTCTTAATACATTCTCGACCCAGGAGTGCATGCCAAGAATCCAACTTATTCAATCTCCCCTATCTCCACCCCCACAACCCTCCCATCCTCCTCTACACCTCCACCCCCCACAACCCTCCCATCCCCCTCCTCTACACCTCCACCCCCACAACCCTCCCACCCTCCCTCTACACCTCCACCCCCACAATCCTCTCCCATCCCCCCTCCCCCCACACCTCCACCCCCACAACCCTCCCATCCCCCTCCTCTACACCTCCACCCCCACAATCCCTCCCATCCCTCCTCTACACCTCCACCCCCACTACCCCTCCTATCCCCCTCCACCCCCACAACTCCAGGTCTCGTCTGTTGGTCTCTGGCAACTACTGATGAAGAACTGAAATTATACAGGATGTAAGGGGGTGCCCAATAAACTAGCCCCCTCCGGAACAATCTAAAAAATCTAAATCTTTTTAATCTGATTTCCCATTGCATTATAAGGCTGTTTTTCTTGTATTATTCTCTCACATGATGTATAATGAGAAGACTCATAAACCTAACCTAACCTAACCTAACCTAACCTAACCTAACCTAACCTAACCTAAACCTAACCTAACCTAAACCTAACCTAAACCTAACCTAAACCTAACCTAACCTAACCAATACCTGGAGGCTCACAACTCTGACAGGTGATTTAGAAGCTTGACTCTGTAGCTACATGTTGAGGCTCTACAGATGATCAGTCAACAAGAGTTCAGCTTTAAACAAAATATTTCTCCCAGGACAAATATATAAATATGATTTTTGTTATCCTGTTTCAGTTTATCGTTCATATAACTCCTTATATAACATCAACAAAACATCTATTCCTTTACTAAACATCAAATATAATATTGCTTTTAAAACATTTAGTCACACACCCAAAAAAAATATCTTAAACGAATGACGTCACACCTTTAATGAATGACGTCACACCTTTAATGAATGACGTCACACCTTTAATGATTGACGTCACACCTTTAATGAATGACGTCACACCTTTAATGAATGACGCCACACCTTTAATGAATGACGTCACACCTTTAATGAATGACGTCGCATCTTTAATGAATGACGTCACACCTTTCACGATTTACCTAACAACTAAAAACTCATTACCATCGCCAAAGTAAACCATTAGCCAAGTTACTATCACCAAATTTAAAGTATTACTAAAGTCACTTGGTCAAATGATGATGAACTTACCATCGCCAAATTAACATCACAAAACTTACCATCGACCAAAGAATTAAAATAAAAAGTCACTCGCCAAATTTAACATAATTAAACTTACCATTAACAAAATAGAACTTCATGTACCTGGGTCTAATTAAAAACAATTATATACATTATCGCTAAAAACCCACTTTTAATATCACTTTCATTAATTTAAAACATCACTAAATATACTGTCGCTAAAGTAAATAAGTTTTAAAAGTAGTAAACATAAATAACATCAGTTTAAATGCAGTAAACATCGATGAAGGTTAAAACATTTACAAGTACAACATCAACAAAGTCACTGTCGCAAGAAGTACAACATCAACAAGTCACTGTCGCTACAAAGTACAACATCAACAAGTCACTGTCGCTACAAAGTACAACATCAACAAGTCACTGTCGCTACAAAGTACAACATCAACAAGTCACTGTCGCTACAAAGTACAACATCAACAAGTCACTGTCGCTACAAAGTACAACATCAACAAGTCACTGTCGCTACAAAGTACAACATCAAAACATCACAACCGTACAGCAATAATCACTGCCTTTAGTAAAACATCAACCGAGAAAGTCACTGTTCTCTAGACTGAACCAATAGTCCTCATCACTGTTACATCAATAGTCACTGCTGTCATTATCATTACACTGATCTTTATTAATTGTAATTAGGCACTCAGTCCTCCGTGTATTAATTAGTGATATAACCTCGGTATTAAATTTCCTAAGTGATAATTACTGCTATAATCAAACACTCCATTTCCAAGTGGTAATTATCTTTATATTCAGGTAATATTAGTCAGAGTGCTAATTAGTCTAATAATAAAGCATTTTATTTCCCAAGGACTAAACCTAAACTAACAGTCACGCAAAAAAACTATCTATACCAAATTGTGATGAAAAAATATGACACAGCGACGAAGGATTTTGACAACCCTACCGAGACAACAGGAGTCACAGTGTTCATTCTAAAATTCATCGATCACCCCAAGTAGAGATAGTTTTATTGAGTGACTGTACAGTGAGTGAGTGTGGCAGCCAATACATTAAAATGAACCAAAAAGGGAAAGGAGTGTGTCCTGGTTGGGATGGTGTCGTGCCCAATGCATCATACACAGAGAGAAGGAATATGGTGCGTATAAAACAAAGAAGCGGTGATGGGTAATGAGGGCCGTATGCAGGGAAGGGAGCAGGGAGGGTTTTTTTTTTTTTACAGTAAAGGTGAAATGTTGAGCCAATGACTACACAAGCGGTGACCAATTGGAGTAGTGGTGGACGAGGATCAGGGTGGATTATTATCATTTCAAACTCTCTTCAATACACTGCTGGGCTCTATACCTCACTCACAGGCCAACACAACATTCTCAACATCACATGGGGGGAGAAAAATGCTTCTTGTATCTCAGTAATCAATATGGAGAAGGGGGGGGGATAATTTGTTTACACGACACAGACAGAGATATGGATATGTGTTATGACACACACACACACACACACACACACACACACACACACACACATCATCATCATCATCATCATCAACATCATTATCAATCTCTTAAGGTAAACACGTGTATAAAAATCATATTATCATCTACTTCTTAATTTTCTCTCCAGGTAAATTAAATTAAAACCAAACTTGCCTTACACATAACACAGGTACACCACTATAACTACCTTCACATAATCATTACACCTGACCTCCAACAAGATCAAGATCATCGCTTTGTTTACACTCTCTGGACACGTCAAATGACTCAGCGACACACACACACACACACACACACACACACACACACACACACACACACAGGCTGAAGACACTCTCTGGGTGCTAGAGAGTATTATAAATTCTCGTTAGTGAGTTTTTTAACGTTATATATTGAGAGATAACATATGCAGGAGACAGATGAAGGGGGAGGCGGGTGTGGTGAGGATAAGATGGGTATATTGGGGGTGTATTAGGATTCATTGAACACAGACGAGACACTCAAACAACGAGAGAGAGAGAGAGAGGGAGGGAGAGAGAGAGGGAGGGAGAGAGAATGTAAACCGACGATGAAAATTTGAGCCAGAGAGGAAACGAATCAGGATGAAATAAATCAGTCAAGAGAAGAAAAAACTGTGAAAAAAGACAGAAGAGGGAAAAGACAGGAAACGGAAGACAGGTAAAGACAATAATGTAAATAAAACAACTGAGAGTGGAGGAGGAGGAGTCGAGATAAACAACA